CAGTCACTCTTGGAAGCGTATACATCAACTTCTTTTGTCAGAAGCCAGCGAAATGTTTTTTGGGCAGTAAAATTCACACCCACTTAAGGGCCACTGTGCTGGGAAATTGTAAATTTACTGCAGATCTTTCCTGTATTGAGAGACTTGCATTTATGTGCAGGAAGGAGAAAGTCGTTTTTTTTTACATTAGGAGATGACTGATGGTTGCAGGTCCGTTTTCCACCTGTACCTCTGTCATGGAGACCGTGTGATGTTGCGTGTGTACTTTGTGATGTCTGTGTGTACTATGTGAAGTTTCTGTGCATGGTGGGATGTTGCGTTTGTTCTGTGTGAAGTTGTATGTTTTCTGTGGCATGTTGTGTGTCTGATGTGTGAGTACTGTGCATTGTGTGTGTACAGGGTGGTGTGTATTGTGATATCTGTGTGAGGGGTGTGTGCTGTGTGATGTGCGTACCCACTGTGATGATAGGTGTGCACTGTAGGATGTCTGTGTCCTGGGAGATGTCTGTGTACTCTGTGATTTTGAGTGCATTTACTGTGTGAGTTTGTGATTGTTCTATGAGATGTTTTGTGTGTGCTGTGTGAGTCCTCTTTTTATCTACCCACCTCATAGAAACCAAATCATGTCATGATTCCTTTCTTTTATCCCTGCACTCTTTCCCAATGAATAGTTGGTTATCCATTCTTAACGTGCTGAATATGAAAACTGGGCCCACGTTTCTGTTAGTTCACAGAAGTCTGTCCTCTGTGACTTCCTTTCTTTAGGGTTTCATATTTTTAAATGTGGTTCTTGGCAGGTATTCTAAATAGTACTGAGAGAGACTCTTTATCCCGTGAATATACACAGTTGAAATTCTTAAGGACTAGCCAGCCCTGGCCTTCCATGGTACAGCGCATGCCGACATTGTGTAGCAACGAAGATGTCAAAAATAACCAGGAGGAGTCTTTGAGGTGAGTTTCAATCCAATGAAAGAACCCCAAAACCTTGTAGGACACAGTCACTGGAGACACAGCAGAAGGTGTTATGATTTATAGAAGTCATTACAGGAGTGGTAACTATGCTCAGTTGTGACATTTGAGAGTCCTGAGGGAAAACCCACATACCACCTACATTGTGTTTCATTATGGGCAAATATTAACACTCCTACTTATATTTGAGTGTGGTATGTTTTTACCAAACATCACAGAGTAGACGAGCTGTGTGAAGGGTTTGCAGAACATCACCCAGGGAAACGTGCATCAGAATTTGAAATCTTTTCTGATAGCAAAGAAATTATCTAGACGTAAAGCTGTGGGGGACTCATCTTGCTATGACCACCTATTGTTTGTGTGATAGATGGAGCAAAGATTTCTGTGATTTCTCATCATTTTGGATACATGTGGTAGATCAATGGGAATGTACAGGAAGTTCAGACGCTTATATTCTTATCCTTAAGAATTTCATATGAAATCTGTTCCTTTTATTCTTTCTTACCCATCACTAGGCATGCAAGAATACATATCTCAGAGAAACCCAGTGAAGTTACAGAATGTAAGAAGGCCTTTTCTCCATCAGTTCAGATCACCACACATGGAAGAACTCACACCCGAGAGAAAACGTACGCATGTAACGAATGCAGGGAAACCTTTGCTCAGTCAACTGACCTAACTAACCATCTTAGAATGCACACAAGACAGAGACATTATGAATGTCAAGAACGTGGAAAAACATTTTCACACTCAAGTCATCTTGCTTCACACAGACAATTGCCCACAAGAGAGAAACCTTATGAATGTAAGGAAAGTGGAAAAGCCATTTCCCACCTGGCTTTTATACCTGGACATGGAGGAAATCATACAGGAGAGAAACCTTATGAATGTCAGGAATGTGGAAAAGCATTCACCAAATCTTCATACCTCACTCCACATAGAAGAATTCACACCGGAGAGAAACCTTATGAATGTCAGGAATGTGGGAAAACCTTCACCACGTCTTCTCACCTCACTCGACATAGAAGAATTCACACCGGAGAGAAACCATATCCATGTCAGGAATGTGGGAAAGCCTTCACCATTTCTTCTCACCTCGCGCAACATAGAAGAACTCACACAGGAGAGAAACCTCATGTATGTAAGGAATGTGGGAAAGCCTTCGCAGAATCACATCACCTCACTCAACATATCAGAGTTCACACCGGAGAGAAACCTTATCCCTGTAAGGAATGTGGGAAAACATTTTCTCTATCAAGTCAGCTCAATGTACATCTTAGGATTCACTCAGGAGAGAGACCTTATGAGTGTAAGGAATGTCGGAAAACCTTCACCCGATTAAATCACCTCAGGGAACATAGAAAAATTCACACAGGAGAGAGACCTTATGAATGTCAGGAATGTGAGAAAACCTTCCGCAAATCACATCACCTCACTCAACATCTTCGAGTTCACACGGGAGAGAAACCTTATCCCTGTAAGGAATGTGGGAAGGCATTTTCACAACCAAGTCAGCTTACACTACATCTTAGAACTCACACAGGAGAGAGACCTTATGAATGTCAGGATTGTGGGAAAGCATTTGCCCAGTTTCATGCCCTCATTGAACACAGAAGACTCCACACAGGAGAGAAACCTTATGATTGTAAGGAATGTGGGAAGACATTTTCTCACCGTACTTCTCTAAGTAACCATGCAGGAACTCACAGAGCAAACAAACCTTATTAATGGGAGGAATGTGGGAAAACTTTTTCGCACTCAAGTCAGCTCCGTACACATAAAAGAATCCACACGGTGTTTCCCGGTTAATGGAGTAACTATATGAAGTAAATTTGCTTAAAGATTGTCACAGGTCATGAATACCTATGAGTGATTGGAGAATCAGTACGATTTGTAAGATGTCTGCGAAATCCCAGAGTGGTCGAAATGAATGAAGGAGAAGAAAAGATAAATATTTCAACCCAAAATAATGAAACCTAAGAACGGACACGGAGGAGGAGTTGCGTGCTCTATCAGCTTTGGACGATCTTGAAGATAAGGGTGTTGATCCTCTTGGTGGAAGAAAACTTAACTATAGTGAAGCCTCCACAAGATTCTGTGTATATCCTGGGTCCCGAAGTTGTCCAGGAATGGGTTCCTCATGGGAGTGACCTCAATTTACAGGACTGAAGCGAACTCTGCCGGTGGTTTCTGTGGATACAGAAAGGGATAGTTTGCATCTACACTCAAAGAAGACAACAGAAGTGAGACCCACAGTTTGAAAACCGTATTCTTGCTGCTTCGTGGCCAATCTGTTTGACAAACATTCGTTCTCTCCTGTTTCCAGAGCTGAACTTTATTGGAAGGAGATCCCACAGCCTATTTTCAGAAATCCTTCTTACTGTTTACAAAGGAAAGTCAAAACCTGTTACCATCACATAGATTTCTGCTGTTAGGAGTCTAATATGACAATACAGGTTTTCCTCCATTTCCAAGGCCACAATTGTTCATAAGTGGATTGTTTCATCTTTTTCAAAAATGCCAGTTCTTAAATTTGAGCCGTATGATGGTGCTTCTGTCATTCCAATTCATTGTCCAGCTCCCATTCCGATGAATAGCAAGTGATCAGGAAGACGATGGTTCCTATTCTATCTGGGCCAGCACTTGTCTGTCAGTTTGATGGAGGATGTGACAGTGGAAGGTATCCTGCTGGTGTATCAAATGCCTTCAGAGTTACCCATGGTGGACAAGTTTTAGCAGAGCTTTCAGATGAAGATAGACTTAAGAAGCAGGATAGCCTATCGACTTTTTATTTAACTTTTTTTTAACGGTAAATAATCCTTATGAAGATACAAGGGGGTACGTGTTAGTAGCAGACATGCGAGAATGGGCAGGAAGAAATTAAGGCGCTGTACAATTTGGTGGATGTAGGGAGCAGGCAGAGGAAGGAGAAAGATCCAGCAGGGACCAGCCATCCTCCCTGGAGTCACCTTGGGAAACAATTTGCAGTGCAAAAGACACTAAACGTCGGGAAACTATCTTCTAACAGAACAGGAAGGCTCGCGGCTTCAACCCAGGTCCATCAGTAAAGTGTTAAAGTGGGTCCCCCTTCCCCCTTGACCTCATCAACCCTGTTCTGCAAAAAGGATCCAGAGAGTCTGTGCCCCATTCCCAAATGAGAAACCCACAAGTGATTAAGACAATTAAAAAAAACACACAAAGTCACCATTGCTCTATACTCACCATGACCCTGTCTCTTCTGGTCCCCACTGGATCTTTCTCATTTCTTTCACCTATTCCCCCTGCCCACCACATTGTGCAGACCTAAAATTTATTCCTGCCAATCCTCACCTTTCTGCTCCCATCCTTTATCTTCTTGTATCCCCATACATGTTTTTCACAATCAAAATTTTAAAAAACATGAAAATTTTTTTATCAAAAAATGAGTTGAGATTTAGTGAAGGTCTTGTTGTTTTTGTTATGTGCCATCGAGTTGCTTGCGACTCATAATTACCCTATGTACAACAGCTCTAAACTGCCCTGTCCTGTGTCAGTCACTTTCTCTTCAATACACCCATCCTGATGACCCCAGTTATGGAGTCAACCCCATATAGAATCTTCCCCTCCTGTGCTGTCCTTCCACCCTCCCAAGCATGATGCCCCTCTCCAAAGACCTGTCCCTCCTGTCAGA